GTCCGGTGGAGTCTTGCCCTCCTTCTTGTAGGAGGACTTGTCCTCCTTGCTCTCCTTGGGGAGGTAGAAGGAGTAGCGTACCCGAGGAGGGGTCATCTTCCCCACGGAGAGTACCTCCAAAGTCAGGGGTTCCTGGATGGGCTTGAAGGCTTGGAGGCTCTCGACGGCAGTACCGGTGCCGCTGTACCGCAGGACGCTGCCCTTCACCATCAGGTCCCTCTCCACGGCCGAGACGATGAAGTGGCCGTTCAGCCGGTACTTGCCCTGCCCGTTCCTCAGCGGCAAGGAGTTGTCGTCGCTTGTAGCCCCGCTGCCTGATGTCGATGTTGGAGGCGCCCGCGGGGATGACCACCACGAAGTTGTAGCCGTGCCTGGAAGAGAAGAGCAAGGCAGGGCAGGCCGTCAGGCAGGGGACATCCCGTGATGACGTGGCCTCAGCCTGAAGCTCTGCAGCTACAGCCCTGAGACCTTCCCACCCCTGCGGTTTTCTCCTCCTTCCCCTGAAGATCGCTTTGGATCGCTTCCGAGTTTCATCTAGGCTGAGGTCACCCAGATACGAGAAGATGCTTCAGCCCCTCTGGCTCAACGGTACGGACGTACCGGAGATAACCCCATCAGCAGAAGCCAATAGCACGTTCAATGTGTCCTGCTTCTCCTTCAGAGCTAGCCCAGGTCTCCACGCAGCGATGTACAATAGCACCAGGATGGACATAGGCCCTGTCACCATCTCCACCACCTTCCTGCATCCACACCAAAAAGCAGAGCTGGGAGAGGGGGAAGCACACGCAGTCCCCTAACACTTACATGGGTTTGGTGAACAAGCCCGAGACCTTCTTGCAGCTTTTGTTGTCTCCTCCGCAGACGCTGCATTTGTCGAACTTCTTCTTGGAGCCCAGCTTCCCGTCGCAGCCCGCTTTGATGCATTTGCCCTGGACGCAGACCGAGGTGGAGTCTGGGGAGCAAGGGGTGCCGTCCACAACCTGCACGAGGGTGAGCAAAACAAGCCGCTGCATTTCCCTCTGCCACCCCACAAACCCTCCTGACTGCGGCCATTCGACCTGGAGCTACCCAAATCCATCCAACAGGTCCTGAGGAGATGCTAGCAGGCACCATGTCACCCTTTGCTCATGCTCTGCTTTGCAATCAGGTTTTTTAGGGTCTCTGAGAAGAGCCGGATGGGACTATATGCCTTTTCTGCTGCATCTACATAATTTTCTGCCTTTTCTGTTGCATCAGTGGAGAAGGGAATAGGCTGCATTGGGGAGACAGCTAACATCACCCCGCTCAGTCCCATGTCTGGCCGCCTGCCCTGTCCGGCACGTGCATCGCTTCCCCAGCATCCTAATTATCATCCTCTATTTCAGGACTATGGGCATATCCCAGAGGCACCTTTACAAACCCAGAGGAAGACCCTCCATGGGCGAACTCCATGAAATAAATAAGCAGACACGTACGTGCTGATTCCTACCAGCCTGGTGGATTCCGCTCCTCTACAACCTCATCTAACACCAGATGCCCCCCAGACAAGGAAAATGCATTCATTTCCAGGCGTGCTGGAGTCATCCTGCAGCCCAGACGCTGATCCTGGGGATCCATCACCAACCTTGGGTGCCAGCACGTAGAAGTAGCCGGTGCCGTTAGCCCGACAGATGAGCTTGCATTTATCCCGGGGCGAGACGCCGGGTGGGGGGCCCCGGGAGACGGAGGCAGTGGGGCGGTTGGTGCTGTGGCTGTAGCCGTTGAAAGCCTCACACTGCTCTTCGCGGAAGCTTTTCCCCGGCACTGGAAAAAATGGGGATGTGCATGGGATTGGGGACCAGCCTGGAGCTCCGGCGCCCGTTTTACGGCGTTGTTGCAGATCATGCACACAACCACGAGCAAGCTGAGCTCCAGCCCCTTACCTGCAGCAGAGCAGGGGTCCAGGTTGCAGGAGCGGTACTTGACGCGGACGCCCTCGCAGTAGGAGCCCCCGTTGGCAGGCACCGGGTCGGTGCATTCCCGCTTGGCCAGCTGCACCCCGCCGCCGC